GTGTGTGTGTGTGTGTGTGTGTGTGTGTGTGTGTGTATTCACACAGCCCAGACAGGATTTTAAAGCTGTCCCTGTGCAATACTGCCAGGATACACGACTGCAGCGACTTTAACCTTTTCAAGAGAGTTGTGGGACGAAGTCAAAGAAAAGCAGATTGTTTTTTCCACCCAATCAACCCAAAGTCGACAAACTTCAGTTTCACAGAGTCTTTAAAATCCCTTCAAATCGTTTCAGTGTTTCCTTCAAAATTGGTGTTGCTTTATTGTTTTACTTTACGTACAGAATCATCTTTATCACCAGGTTTTTGCTCCTGTCTGTGTGAGACTGTTAGCAAAATAATCACAGGATGTGCATCAACCTGATATAAGAGGGCCACCAGCGTAAATTGATCTTAGAAAGCACAAAAATGATTCAGCCAATTGTACAGCTATTGTAGTACAATGTGATTTGGTAGAAGCAGAGACTGATCAGTGGCTATAATCCTGTCTGTTTTGTAGATACTGTGATCAAAATGGACATGATTGCAGCTGAGTTTTACTCCAGAAACATACTCTGAACTTGACATCATGCAGCTGCAGAAAATTGGATCAAATGTGATTTTCATGGTTTGACCAAAACAGCAACAACATTTCTCAACATAAGAAGAGTTTAAAACTCTGGCATGAAAGGTGCATTYCTTCAAAGAACCTTTAAATTAGTTTTTTTACGCCAGCTCAGAGGTTCTCAGACTGGGGTCCCTGGACCTCCAGGGGTCCGCGAGAGGTACCTTGGGGGTCCTCAAATATTTTTACTAAATTTTTAATTTCATTTTTGTTTTTAAAAATGCATGGAGAACAATGAACTAATAAAACAAACATAATAAACGTAATAAAAATATATATTCCCATAGCATTTAGGGGTTGAAATGATAATAAATCATCTTTTAAAACAGCACAGGGTTTATGAGGGGGTCCCTGGAATTTTTTTCACCCTTGTAAGGGGTCCCCAGACCCACATGGCTTGAGAACCTTTAGGTCTACTAGTCATCCAAAGACAYAGACTCTCCACTATGGGTGGCAGATTTTTTAGTGCTGCTGCCCCAACTCTCTGGAACTCCTTACCTTTTTCAGTTTATTCTTCTGAATCTCTGACTGTTTTTAAAACTCAACTTAAGACCTTCCTCTTTTCCCAGTACTTCAACTCTCTTTGGTTTTGTGCTGTTCTACTTTCTTCTACTCATTGTAAAGCGACCTTGGTTTTGTGAAAGGCGCTATACAAAATAAACT